CTATCAAATCGATAACACATACTAGCATAATGTTAATCCGTACAGTAAACATACTCATGTACAACTGTAATTTCAACTATCGACTGATTTCGAGAATTGTATGCCGTTATCATAATTGTGAGCGCAATTAATGTTTATTTTAAATTAATCAATAAGGCGTCCGTTGCCTAGATTCACGATACGCAACCGTGACGCCAAAGCGTCACGGTTGCGTATAATGACTGTTATAAACGACGTTTTATTTAATTTAATTTTAGTTGCTGTAATTAGATACTGCTTGCAAGCAATGTTCGTTACCGAAATTTACTTTTCAAATTTCAAAATTGTCTTTTAGTATTAAAATATATCGTAATATTATTAATTGCTGCAGTAGTTTTTTTTAATTTAAAAAGTGGTCAAGCGAGGGCACAAATCCCCTGATGTTAGGTGATTATCGCCGCCCATGTACTTTAACTATGCCGAGTCGCAAATGCGTTGCCAACATTAAAAGAGTGGTCCCAGTTATTTTAATCCCCACACGAAACGGGAAAGAATAAAACATACTTCCACTTTACGCCGAGGCCGTTGCACTTGTTAGTGGGTACATCGCTATTAAGAAGTGCACACAGCACAACACTAGTAATTGTTCTCTTTGTCAGTGGATAGAAAAGTTACACTATGGTCTCAAGAAAATGTACTACAGTAAAAAACGGTCAGTGATATCTTAAAATAATAATAAATAATATTAATAAAAGGTTGGTTTCCCTCATCTGAGCATTCCTATACCCTTCAGGTTATGGGCCCAGACTGCCCAGAGTGAGAACAGTGCATAAAAGAATTAAAAAATGAATAACCAAGAAGAAAATATAGAAAAACTTACGAACTCTGACAATTTCCACATCTGGAAATTTGAGATAAATATACATGTTTCGGCATCGAATCTGTCGGAAGTGTTGAAAGAAACAGACCCAGAACAGAGAGAAAAAACCAGAATTCCGAACTAAGGATGCTAAGGTAAAGAAGTTGATATTGAACTCCATAGATAGAAAACTAAAAGGTCACATCATAAATTGCAAAAATGCATATGAAATGTACAATAAGCTATGTGCAGTATTTGAAGGATCTGAAGAAAGAAACAAGTCTTCCTTATTACAAGATTTCTTTAACTTCAAATTTGAAAACCAGACAATGTCACAGTTGATCACAGATATAGAAAACTTGAGGATGAGATTAAATAATCTTAGCCAAAACATTGATGATGACATGGTGATATCAAAAATATTAACCTGCTTACCAAACCAATATAAATTCTTCATCACAGCATGGGAATCAACACCCGATGACAAAAAGACACTTACCAACTTAACTAACAGACTTTTATCAGAAGAAAACAGATTTACAGAAAGGAAAATTGAGTACAAACAGGTTGCTTTTAAAGCGCGAGAATAAAAAACATAAAATGTTTTAAATGTCACAAAATAGGCCATCTAAAAAAGGATTGTAAGATGTGCACTTTCTGTAAAAGATACAACCATGAAGAGAAAGATTGTAAGTTAAAAAACAGCTGTTGTTCAATTTGTAAGAAAAATAATCATACAGAAGAAAATTGTTTCTTTAATAAAAAATGTGATAGTAAGAAACACAAAAAATGTTGCCTTTTTGACACAAAACTCTGAATCAACTTCATTAAAATTTGTAGTAGATTCTGGTAGCACAGTGCATATGACAAATGACCCTAGCATTTTAAGCAATTTCAAAGAAATGGATTCTACAGTTTATGCAGCCAATGAAAAAATGAAAGCACAAGGATCAGGTACTGTCCATGGAATGTCATGCGATTTACAAAAGACTTTACTTATACCAGACCTAGCACAAAACCTTTTGTCTGTAAATTGTGTTACCAATAATGATGGTTCTGTTGTGTTCACAAAGAATAAAGTGGAGATTTACAAAAATTCAAATTTAATTTTAACTGGTAAAAAAGAAAAAAGGCTTATACAGGGTAAATTTAGAACAAGACCTGAAAAACGAAAATAAATCTTTACTTACACAAGTAAAAGGAACAGCATTGGAATGGCATGCAAAACTAGGACACCCAGGTAAATCAGTACTAGAAACACTAACAAAAGTGGCAGACGGCATAAATATACAAGGACCAAAAGTATTACAAGAACAGTGTAAAATATGTGCTGAAGCAAAACAGTCAAGACTACCATTTAATACAGTCAGAACTCGGGCTGAAAGATACCTACAAATAATACACACAGACATCTGTGGTCCCTTTGAGGAGAAGACTCATGATGGATACAGGTATGTATTAACAATAATGGACGACTACAGCCATTTTACAAAAATCTATTTACTTAAAAATAAGAGTGATGCAAAAGAAGAAATTAAAAATTATATTGAAGAAACGGAGAGAGAGAAAAATAGTAAAGTATCGACTATAAGATGCGACAACGGAGGTGAGTATACAAGTAACGATTTTAAAGCATTGTGTCAACAAAAAGGCATAAAATTAGACTACACAGTGCCCTACTCACCACAATTAAATGGGAAAGCTGAACGCCTAAACCGGACATTATTAGAAAAAACAAGAGCATTACTTTTTGATTCTAAATTGGACAAAGAAATGTGGGGTGAAGCAATATATTGTGCTACTTATATTTTAAACAGACTACCAAGTGATGCCCTGAAAAACAAAACACCATATGAAATGTGGGTTGGAAAAAAGCCTAATATATCTAATATGCAAAAGTTTGGCTCTACTGTCTATGCAAAACAGTTACATCCAAATGTAAAGAAACTGGATCCTAGAAGCAAGAAACTAATAATGATTGGATACACTAATAATGGGTACAGACTGTGGAATGACAAGGAAAGAAAAATAGAGATATCAAGGGACATAGCGATAGTAGAAAGTGAAATTGAACAACAGAAAGAAAATTATAAGAAAATAAATAATAATAAAAGTGAAAATGATGAAAAAGAGACAACAGAAAACCAAGAAGAGACTACAGAAAACCAGGAAAAGACTACAGAAAACCAGGAAAAGACTACAGAAAACCAGGAAGAGACTACAGAAAACCAGGAAAAGATTATAGAAAAGCAGGAAGAGACAACAGAAGATACCAGAACAGAAGAAAATAAAAATGATGAGACTTTTGAAGATGTAGTATCAGAAACTGAATCAGAAGACACGGAAAGAGAAAGAAACAGACATAATGAAGAACATGGTTACCTAAGAAGAAGCAAGAGAATGAAACACATACCAATACATCTAAGAGACTACAGTTTACTTACTTACAGGGAGGCTGTAACATCTAAAGAGGGAGAAAACTGGGAGAAGGCTATAAATTCGGAGAAGGAATCCCTGGAAATCAATAATACCTGGGAAATAGTAAACAAAAAAGAGGCAAAAGATAGTAAAATACTTTCAAACAAATGGGTATTCCGTGTGAAAGATAATGGCACTTATAAAGCTAGACTTGTTGTACGAGGATTTGAACAAAACGGAATTGACTACAATGAAATTTACAGTCCAGTTGTCAGTCAGTCAACTTTAAAATCTTTATTTGCACTTGCTGCTTCTAAAGACTATAACATGATGACATTCGATGTTAAGACTGCATTTTTATATGGAGAGCTGGAAGAAAATGTGTATATGAATATACCGGATGGATATGAAAAACAACCTGAAAAAATTTGTCGATTAAAGAAATCCTTATATGGGTTAAAACAAGCTCCTATTACATGGAACAAAAGATTTACAAAAGCAATGTTAAAACTTGGTTTAAAAGCTACTAAAACAGATCAGTGTGTATTTACAAATGAAGATAATACAACAATAATAGCAATCTATGTAGATGATGGGCTTGCTTTGGCTAAAGAAAAGCAAACATTAAAAAACATCTTAAATTCCCTAGAAAAGGAATTTGAAATAAAAGTATACAACGATCCTACTACTTTTATTGGATTAGAAGTTAAGAAGACTGAGAAAGGTATAACACTGAAACAAGAAAGCTACATTGGAAACTTATTGAAGAAATTTAGTATGGACGATTCTAAGCCTGTTAATACACCTGCAATACAGAAAAGAAAACAGAAACGCAAAACACAGATACTACAAATTTCCCATATAGAGAACTGATTGGAGGACTTCTATACGTATCTACAAGAACAAGGCCAGACATAAGTCAAGCTGTAAATGAAGCAAGCAGAAAAATAGAAAACCCTACGAAAGATGATGTGATAGCTGCAAAGAAAATACTAAAATATTTAAATGGAACAAGACAGAAAGGAATCTTGTACAAGAAAGGAGGAGATATTTCAAAATTAAATGCATACTGTGATGCCGACTATGCCAATTGTACCAAGACAAGACGCAGTACAACCGGATTTGTGATAATGTTGGCGGAAGGACCTGTGTCTTGGTGTTCAAAACAACAACCAATTGTTGCCTTATCATCAACCGAGGCAGAGTATATTGCAGCAGCTGATTGCTGTAAGGAATGCTTTTATTTAAAGTCATTTTTAAAGGAGCTGATTGGAACTGAAGTTGAAATGATATTAAATGTGGATAACCAAAGCGCTATTCAGCTGATCAAAACAGGTTCATTCAATAAAAGAATCCAAACACACATTGATGTGAGGTACTATTTTATTCATGAAAATTATAAAAAGGGTAAAATTAATATTAAATATTGTCCCACTGATAAACAGACTGCAGACATATTTACAAAACCATTGTTGAATAATAAATTTAATTTTCACGCCCAAAATATTGTCAACTAAATAAGTTCATGATATAGGAATATAACTTAAGAAGCACCTACTTCAAAATCTGTATAATTTAAAATTTTGATAGCATAGAATAACAGGTATTATTTAAGATGTAAACAATCTTAATAATAGGAGAAGGTGTTAGTGGGTACATCGCTATTAAGAAGTGCACACAGCACAACACTAGTAATTGTTCTCTTTGTCAGTGGATAGAAAAGTTACACTATGGTCTCAAGAAAATGTACTACAGTAAAAAACGGTCAGTGATATCTTAAAATAATAATAAATAATATTAATAAAAGGTTGGTTTCCCTCATCTGAGCATTCCTATACCCTTCAGCACTTTCCCGGACGAGCCTTCTCATTTGTGCAACAGCCCTAACTGCTGCGCGCCCCTATCACAGTAATCTACAAAGTAAGAAAATCAGACAGAAAAAAAAACAATGTTGATTTATCTTGAATAGAAGACTGAAAAAACTTAGCTCACATAAAGCGATATCAGAAAAATTCCCGGAATTTGGTGTTTACCGGGGTAGTCTAGTCGAATTATTGACTCATAGTGACGTCATAAGTACAGTTATTTGTGCGTTGTAAAGATAAATCCTTGCTAAAGTATTTCATATAAGCACGATGCGGACCTGGCGTCAACATTAGTTCACAAGACTCTGTGCAGGACGGTTGTGACGCGAAGAATTTTTGAAACTTTGTGATACTAAGAAACCGATTGTAAGTAAGACCCTCAATGTTTTTGTTACTAAATTACTTGATTTTCAGACTAAAATGTTATGTCTTAAAATTGTTCTTTTTGATAATTAGGTTAAAGTAAAGTAAAATGTGAGAATGTCATACCATCAGAAGTTGAATAAAGTTAGATATAGAGACCAAATTGAATAATAAATTGAGATGTTGCTTTGAAGACAAAGAAATTCATTTTAACATCGTATTTTTTACGCAGATGTGCAACATTCCCTATATGACATATTTATTAAAGAGTTCGAAATTAAAATAGCATGTGCGTTTTTTAAATTCATCCATATTCATGCATTTTTAATACTAATCTCTGCACTTAAGATGAAATTTAAAAATCATTAGATAAAATAGTTGCAAAATTTTCACATCTGCTGATTCCTTAGTCTCTATTTAGTAATTAAATTTAAATATTAAATTTCAATAGCAAAGGTGACATTAATTTGTTTCTTCAAATATTAATAGTAAAATTTTTATTCGATTTGTTAATGAAGCACATTTGATAACGTCAAGCATTGCCAAAAATGCAATTAAAACAAAGTAGATAAGACGTAGAGATTATCGGGCAGTGAGCCGATTACCGTTGTTCTAGCCCCAAAGTTGAGTGTTGGTGTTGTGACTTTGTGGCTGGAGCAATTCGACGCATAATACGCAAGGTTTGAATCCTAGCGGTGTCGGTATCGAAGAAAGAGTTTTATAAAAGTACTAGTCTCATTGATGGTTATTTCGCAGGAAAATGGCCGACTCTGACCGCGTTGTATACCCCGATGAAGTGGAAGAAGTGAAGGAGCCTGTAATAAAAGCTAAGACTGTTGAAGCTAGCGAAGCAGTCCCCGAAACTCCGCAGGTCATGGGGAACCAGATACGGAACATGATTTCGGTGCCATCCAACTGTCCGCCCGGCTTCAAAATGGGCGCCGACGGAGTTTGTCGAGAGGTTTTCGATTAGGAAAACTAAAAAACATATGCGTTTTTTTTAATTTAAATTACACTGTAAGGTAAACTTAGTAAACTTTTTAAATTCGCATTCAAAATGGACTCTCTATTGGAAGCGGTTGAGCGGAAGTGAAACGGCCGCACGATGAGCCTTTATTTAGGTGATAAAGAATAAATTCGAAATAATTTAAGATAAGTTTTAGGCGATAGTATATGCTTTGTTTTGTCACAGTATTACTATGTTCCTTTTATATTGTAAGTATAATTTGGGCCAGGTGCCTTGTTACCAATATGGATATACATTTAAGCATATAATAAATGTCTGAACATGAGAGTTTGTTTTTATTGTTGTAAAATATCAATCCTTATGAAGCACTCCTTGATATCGAGTAACTTACAAGTTACATAGGTGTTAATGATTATAAAAAAGATAAGGGCTGATCATTATCCTAACATATCCTAAGGATAACATTATTCGGTGTTGTAAGGACGTTTAACAAACATAAATTTTACGTGAACAAACATCAAGATACGAACAACTATCTGTGAGTCGCACAAATAGTTGTCCCATGTGGGAATCGAACCCACAACCCCCGACGCCGAAGCCAAATACCTTGGCAACTGCGCCACGGAGTCATCAATTGTTGCTGCCGTAGGGATTTGAGATAGAAATAGAGGATTTTGAACTTTTGTATTACTATGAAAATTTTATGAATTTCATCATTTTTAAAATTAGTAATCCATAAGATTTATGTAACAAATCAATGCAGTCAAAACTGAATTTATAATATTTAATTAAGTTGCTGTGAACCGATTTATGAATTTTAAATGTTATCTTGTCCAGTATTTATATTTTTCGAAATTGTCTGTGATATATATATATAAACGTTTAATTACATTATTCACACGTTTTTGACTCTTAGAGCTGAAAACAAATACATTTTTTAATTATAATCTAGCTAATGTCTGATATGCCACATTTATTTTTTTGTTTCCTTCTACTCAACTTACAGATTTTTTTTCAACATCTCAAATAAAAACACCAGTTCTTTTGTAGACGGGATGGGATCAAAAATAAAAGCCGTTGATTTTCTAATAATTAACGATCATTTACTTTAAAATACTCATGTAATTATTCAATAATCTATTTTTAAATAATTATTACTAAGTTAAAAAATTAAACGGTATATTTAATTCCAACTTAACACAACATCTCCTACGTAAATTATAAATAACCTAAAGTAGCATAAGTTTTAACAAAGGGCGCGTCACTCTCGCAGGAATTCCTGAAAAAGATTAAAAAAGTTAACATCTTTATATTTCTATATAAACAATATAAGAACAGAAAAAATATTTTGCTAACACCTGGATTCCAATTTATTTATTAGTGTTAGGAGAATAATCTATGCTATAAATTTTAAGAGAATAATAATCTATTTATGTTCACGTGTATTCGGTTCAGTAAGTGAAGTGTATTAAATTGTATTAACCTCAATGTATGTTCACGAAATAAAATGTGTATTTGTTGTAGCCAGAAATCTACATCGTCCCTAATGGTTCACAATAGTACTTCTATCAATCTAACTGAATTGTTTTAAACGAATCAAAATGGAAACTAGGTTTTCCAGCCTTTGTCAGATGTCACTATGACCATGTAATATTGTAGAGTTTAGCAAGTCCGATATTATTTATTTATTAATTCTAGGAAAAACTCGAACGTTCGAAGTCGCAAGCAGTTTCGTGTAATGGAAAAACCTTCACATTTTGATGCTATTTAATAGCCCATTATCAAGTACGAAGTTATTGAACACATTAATACCTTCATGCTAATATGTGCTCAACACGAATACCTGAATTTTGAAAAGGAAACATATCGACTGGTATTTTATGTACGATAAACGAATAAAGTTTTGTGATATTTTTAAATTAGCGTTTTTGAAAATCTTTGTTTCCTTGAAAATCTTTGTTTAATCAGATTCATTAGTTAAAATATGAAATAAAAAAATCACTGAAATAATGAAGTGAACTTATGGACCGGTTTTTTTAGAATATAAGAATGACAGTTACAGCGTCTATTTATTATTCTTACGTCTATTACTTACGTTAAACGCCTATAATTATATATAATATTAAAATATAACATATTTTCAGCAATGTTTCGCTATGCTGTAAAATGTGTGGTGTCTACCACGGCTTGTTTTCATATTTATAGTCTAAAGCACGTGGTTTTTTAACAGAAAAGAAAAAAACTCTATTCAGAGAAAATTTCAAAATCTAAACCAATTTAATGGAGTTTAAAATATACTTTTATTGAATATTGTTCTGTACTCTTATTGAAAGTTCCAGTTCAGTCTGGCAATTTTCAAGTAGCAATCCCATTTTTTAACTGTTATTAATTATTTATTCGCTTAGTAATCTTGAGTCGTGTATTTTAATATCGATTATTCGAAAGAGATAGCGCAGTGCACAATGGAATCATATTGTTTCTGATGAAACAACATTTGCGGTGTAGATTCCATTTGAGTTCCTGTATTCAGGATAAGATCCGCTTAGATACGTGCACTATAATGGTGAATATTGAACTGAATTTAAAAGCTTATTATATGAATTTCCTATTGCATCAACGTTGTTTTGTTTATTAAATGAAACTAGTTTACGAATTTTATCGCATTTTAATTTTGTAATTCCCGACGTTTCGAACCCTTTCCTGCGTTCATGGTCACGGGATAGACTAACGCCCGGTTTCTTAAACACGTAGAAATTAACTAATCAGCTTTCTGTTATTTCTACGACGATCAGTGTTTCAGAAACCGGGCGTTAATTTTTACGTCTTGATGTCATAGTTAACCCGGGCTGCCATCAATTATTTTGACGTTTATTTTTATTTCGATCTACGCAAAAGGAGCTTATGGTATAATAATAAGAAGACATTTATACTTAATATTATAAAATTGATAGTTTGTTTGTTTGAACTCGGTAATCTCAGGAAGTAATGGTACGATTTGAAATAACATTGTTAGATAGCCCATTTATTGAAGAAAGCTATCGGCTACTTTTTAAGTACGATATAAAATGTAGAACATGCGAGCAGAGCCGCGGGCGAAAAGCCAGTTTGTAATAAATTGGCTATAACAAGAATAAAACTCTAGGTAACACAATTTGTTTTTTTACGTTGATAAGATAGAAAGGATTCGGTCTGAAGAGTTAAACTAATTTTAAAAATACCTAGATCGCGCTATCAAGATTCTGCGTATCCATAGGTACTATTATGTTGCACGTGGTCCTTGAGAAATATGTTATTATAACCTCGTAAGTAAACCCGTGCTTTCTATAATTTTTATAACGATTTTAGGATATCAGAAAACGAAAATCATATGGGTTCAGGGGAAATATAACTGGCATATTAAGTGATGGACAACAGTAGGAGGGTTCATGTGAATTTATTATATTAAATTTTTAATCGAAATGCAATAACTATATAAACATAAAATGATGATAAAATGAACAGCAAAATAAGAGAAAGAAACCACGCGATTTGAGTTTTTTCATAAAATTCAAAAAACTTTCTTTTTTAAAATTCTAATTTTCATCCATTGTATTTATGGCTGAACATACTTTGTTTTAATGAAAGTACTAAAAGATGTTAAAATATAAACACATACAAAATAATAATTAACAGTATAACAAAAATAATACATTTATAACCAATATAAAAATAAAAAATAAGATTATCTTGTCATGTCACGAAACAAAATCCGCAATAGGTACTTATTGTTTTACGCTTTAGAATTTATTTGAAAATTTAGAAACGTAAAGAACTCAAGGTACAAATTACTACGTAAAAAGCGCATCAAAAGCGTTTTTGCTCTATTTCCAAAATGTCCAGTACTTACTCGTCCTCCCATGGACATATGTCGTTCCGCTGCTTGCACTCACTGATACCGCCTTTACTATCTCTCTTAACAATATTTGATTCAGAAACCGACGACACCTCGTCTTTATGAGCAATTTTCTTCATCGCATCAGACTCGGATGCGGCCTTGCAGTCGCCCGTGATTCGCTGCGGAGGCAACGAAGGCACTCTATCCAAGTTGTCTTCGTCTACCCCAATGTCTTCGCAAACGGCCAGAGGCGCTATCGGCCGGATCAACGGCGTCTCTACTACCGCCGTAACCACCGCAGCTCTGCATACACTAATCGGTGATTCGATAACTGCATTCTTACCAGTCATCTCTACAGAATCCGACCTCAGCGCCATGGCTGGATTATTCTCACGCGGGCTCGCAACCTCTTTGTCCGGTTCAATCAGTGCCTCCGTAGAACAAGGTGTCTCTAATGCATCTACTTCCTCGTTTTTATCGGACACACTGTCAGAAATAACGCCGAGTTCGCTAATTAAAGTTTCTTTACATGAGGCCGGACTGATTTCTTTCGTCGTTGACGGTTCTCGGGACAAAGTAGCCCTTCGCACGAAAAGTGCGTCGTCCTCCGACGGCTTAGTCAAATCTGAGTCACTGGTTTCCGCGACGAAAGATGCGGAGCCATCGTGCGACTCTACCGGCGGCAATTCGGCTGTTAACTCATTTTGCACTTTAACGTCTACATCTAAAACATCATTTCTTGTATCACAACTAGGAATAGTAGTAGAGATTGTTTTCACGATAGCGAGCGCGCACTGATCCTCGATAGATTTGAAATTGGGGACAGCCGGTTCGGTTGGCGTTGCATCGGCCGACGCGAAGACCGAGGAAGGCTCTTCTGACGGCGCGACTGAGCGACGTTCTTCGGGTGAGTTGGTGCCGGGCGGGGAGTCAGCGGACTCTTCGTCGGGGGCGGAGCTGACGCTGATGGTAGGCGTCGGGTGGGGCGGTGCGGGGGTTAATGGGTGGCGGGGGTGCTGGTGCGGGGCGTGGTGGCCTCGGCGAATGGGGTGGCGAGCCCAGTGGGGCCAAATGCCTGGGCTCCACCGCCGACAGGCGCCGCAAAGGCGGCGGAGCCCCCCGAAGGCCTCCGTCCAAAGTGCTCTGCTGCGGGAGTCGACGCGTGCGCTCCGCTACCGCCACCGCCGAGCTTACGTCGGAGGACGAACTGCCAGAGTCAGCGGCGGAGTCTTGACGCCTCCTGCTGCTGCCGCCGTAAACCCCGTCCCGCGTGGAACATTCCCAAGGAAGGACGTCAGCTGTGTCGTCATCGATAGGATCTCTGAAAGTTGAAAAATGTTAAACATTTTAATGTTGTCCAACATAATTATTGATTGATCAAGTAACGGTAGTTGTTTCGAATAAGATTGAGAATTAGCATTATAATTACTCTATGCATACGTATTGTGAAAAGCAATTTTAAATAACACCCGTTTGAATGCTAAAATAGCACCAAGCCAGCCTGACCAATTGTGCAGAAGCACGATACAGCAGCCTTTATTTTTAGTACAGTGCGCTTAACACCATTCTACTTATTCTAGTTCCTTCAGCAATGCCTCACCTGAATGGAATGTCGCACAGGTTCGACTGCGAGTGGCTGTGCGGCGGCGGCTCGGGCGCGCGCGGCGGCTGTGCGGCGCACACGGCGAGCTCGTGCGCGGAGCCCGACAGCGACCGATCCGAGCCGCGCCGCCGCGACAGGCCAGCGCTGCTGGTCGACCCCGGCTTCTTCTTCACTTGACCACCAAAGTTGAAGAACCTGCACGGGGGTTTTACACTGGCAGTCGGACTACCCACTTGCTTGCGACACGAATGACTATTACTCGAGATTTGATTAATTTACGCTAAATTGCAGGCATAACCGTCTGCAATTTAGCCTAAATTAGTAATAAGTAATTAGCATCACTATTTATAAAATTCAAAATTGTATACTAAAAGGAACGAAGCAGTTTTTACAAAGAAAAGTTAAGTTTATATTTCAGCATTTTCTCCTGTATCGGATATATTGTGTTGTACAATAATAATTTGGTTTGGCAAAGTGAAGAGTCCTACAAAGTTTGAGAGTCCTACAAAACATTGAGATGATACAAGTTCAACTCACTTCGCTTTCTTCTGATATACGTTCCGCCCCTCGGCGAGCAGCCGTTGGAAGTGGTCGGAGCGGATGAAGCGCGGGTAGCAGTCCTTCTTGAGGAGCAGCCCGTACACGTGGTCCGCCGCGTGGTCGAGGGCGTACCGGGAGCCGCTGCGGAGGCCTTCGTTGACGCGCTCGGCGGTCGCGCCGTCAATGTTGATCTCGCAGGGTGCGCCAGGCTTCAGGAACTCCCTTTAGAACACATTGCGTTAACGAATTTACCACTGCTTTTAGAATACATTGTGCTAAGGTATTTACCACTCCTATAGAATACATTATGCTAACGTGTTTACCACTTTATTTATAATACATTTTGCTAATGAATTTATCACTCCCTTTAGTACACGTTACCCTAACGAATTTATGAGTCCCGTTGGAATAAATTGTGCCAAAGTATTTATCGCTCCCTTTGGAACAAATTATTCAAAGTATTTCCTTTTTGAATGGGAAAAGATGACAAACTAGCTGGCGGTTCACCTACAGTAACAATCCCCATGGGGTTGCCTGAACTGTTGTTTACGTTAAACAGTTAGGCACAGGCACAGTTAGTAAACTTAAGTTGTTAGTAGAAAATTCGTAAATATCTCTAACTATTAAACAAAAACTAGTGGACACCGCTGAAACAAGTAAAAAAAACTTTCTCACTCGTAAATCTCGTCAAGCTTCTTTGGTATCTGCTTAGTGCTACTGCGCCGCAGATCCATGACCGCCAGCCAGAACCTAATGTTCTCGTGTGAGTACTCTTTGCGTAAGAAACTGGTGAACTCCTGCAGACCCGTGGGATCCGACACCAGCTCCTCGATCGACAGGGCCCAGCGCTGAACGCGTTTCTCACTCGGCACCTCCACTCTGACGGGAATGAATTATTATCGATTTATTATCGTATTTTATGTACTGCTGTGTAATTACAGGGTTATAAGATCACTACAAATAAATTAAATAAGTAAGTATGTTTGTTACGCTTTCACGCCAAAACTACTCATCCGATTATGATCTAGTAGTTAATAATTGTAAAGTGCACATTTGCACCAGCTAACAGGAACATTAAATTATGGAATACTTCAGTCCTTCTGAGAATTCGAATCGTCGGTAATAAATTAATAACAATTCGAAATAGTACTAAAAGTAAATAATAGTCGGTAAAGCACTTTCATTAGGATACTGACATGTAACATATACTGTATGTACTCGTATGGATACGTAGTGACATTAATGTAATAGCAATTGCGACGATGATCGTCATTTGCTTGGGAAAAGATTTTTTCAAGAATATCTTTTGAAGAATTATATTTTTATGTTTATTTATTTCAGTTTTTGTCATATCTCCCTCGCACAAGGCTCACTCGAACATCGGCCAGCTTTTAACTATTGGTTTTGGTCATCAAATCATGTCAACCTAATTAGTGCTATGCACACAATTGCACTCGTAATACTTACAGTGGGCTATTAATCTGCCAAAACAGTGTATCGTCCGAAATCCAAGGGTTCGAGGGTTGTGGTGGCGTAAGCCAAGGATCGTATGGAGCGAAGGTCTCGGAGTAGGCCACTAGGGCCTCCAGGGCAATAGACGTCTTCACTCTCGTACGATCCAGGCTCGCTTTAAGATGTTCGATCTAAACGTTGAAAAGAAACTATTACAGAGGCTTGTATTGATAAAAGTGATTATTTTCACAGATTCATGTCTCTTCACTTCAGTCGTTATTACATAATGAAATTGATTAATCAGTGCTAATGTAAGACTTTCACATCTTATTATTAATATCACTTATACATTTTTCTGTATAAAAGTATTATACATTTTCTCTTTTAGTTTTGGTTTTTACATAAAATATGTATATATCTTCAAGGCCACTTACCAACAGTCGAGCGCTGGCCAGATTCGATTAAAAATGTATATGTATAGAAACAATTAACTTTTTGTTATGATATCATTATCAGCTTCAGATGTTCAAGTTTATTTTATAATAACCTTCTTACGGTAATCTACGATTTTCTCACAACGGTACAGGATTCGCGTTACTTACTCCGAATAAAGACTGTTTATTAATGTTAATTCACGGATCCCTTCTTTGACCTGGGATGCGGCCACTTTGTTCATTATTTATTAATTTATTTGTTTACCTCTCGCGTCAACTGGTGTACGGATCTCTTCTTCGGCCTGGGATGCCGTATCCGGAGGGCCACTTTGTTCATTATTTATTAATTTATTTGTTTACCTCTCGCGTCAACTGGTGTACGGATCTCTTCTTTGGCCTGGGATGCCTTATCCGGACAGGCACCGGACATGGCTCTAGTGGGCTGGGCATACCGGGCGGGGGACGAGCTACCCGCCAATACGCTCGCTCCTGGCTGTCACTGACGATTTTATCCCCCTTCTTCCGCTCTTTCGCCAGTCTCACCTGTCCGGAAAAGAAACATACGGCTAATATATGCTAATGATCTGCAAAGGCCTCTTTAGTCCATCGCCCGATCTATTTGTAATAAGAACTAAATTAACTCTTCGGGATCTTCGCGGACGTCTTCTGATTAAGTTTATTTGCAACAGCTTCATTTTCGTGTTCAGTTATACCGATTGTCGCAAATGTGAACTAAACCATAGTAATTTTAATAAGCCAACGTGTATGAAAATTATTTTTATTAATAAAACAATATATCAACTGCCCTGTTAACTGGCCGTGATCAAAAAAGACAACGTTTGATGATATTTTACGGTTTTGAGTATCGAGTTTCCGCTTAGTTAAGTTATTGTGACTCGAGTTCGAAAGGGTGTTTTAATTACCTGTTCCTCCGCTTGCATGGTGATGAAATCCCATTTCGCGGCGAGATTCTTCTTGAGGTTCGCGAGCGCCTCTTGCTCGTAATCCTCGAGGCCATGGCGCTGTTTGTTTCGCAGCGTCCTCTTCACGAGGTATATGGCGTACTCAACATTATCCGGGCCTAGTGATGGCGCACTAGCTCCTCCACCGGCCACTCGAGGCCCTTGCCAAGGCCAGTAATACGGACTCTTAAATAATACATTTTTCTTCATTATTACTTCGGGGCTTGATTCAATAATTGGAGGAGATTGTGGAATTCTGTGCTTGGCAGTATCCAGAATTATTAATTGCAATAATAACAGACTTCCAATTGTTTTTCCACCCGTTACTAGTGGATAATATGAAAAAATCTAGTGAAATGGAAACCTCTATGCACAACTCTTCCCACAGACTGATAATAGAAAAAGTGAATTATTTTATGGCTTGATTTGTTTATGGCACAACCGAGCTATGGCAACTCGTTACTCAGGCTATTAGCGGGCGACCGTTTCGTGTTTCAGTAACATTTAAGCGCCCTTGTGGGCAGAATCACATTCAACTGCTGATTTACATTGGTTAAATGTGTTGACGGTATCACATAACGGAAACTTGACTTTGTAGTAAATTGGTCGTTTACACACAGTGCTGAATCTTTGAAATGTTATATCTAATTTGTCTTACAATCTTTCTGATATTCATTATAAAGAACGTGCTAACTAAGCGTAATAAGATGGGTACTTCTGAAGTAACTGAAGGTTTAAATTTTTACGAAAAAAAGTGTATAATACATAAATATAATCTTTGAGTATATACTTGTCGACAATCAAAGAATAAAATATTCCTAAACAAATAATACTACACAAATATCAAAAGTACTAAGAACTGGTCATACATAACGTTAGCAGGTTACGTTCTAAATCTATTACATGCTTTGGATTGATAAATAACGAGGAGCGATAAGAATTATCCACTCATCAATCAATGAGATATCGATATAGAATATACTTACTTGAAACCTATAAAGAGAAGAGTCGTCCTTTAGAACAAGATTTTTTGAATCGTTGACAGGAAAGAAGTATCCATACTGACATAGTTGATTAGCTAAGTTTATTGCTTCAACTGTGAAAAGAAATCAAGCATTGTATCAGTACCAGATCATTACGACAGACACATCGTGAGAACTTAGTGTTTATTAGATTTTACATCGTTTAGATACTTTTTATTCAATTTTGTAATGTGGACTGGGACCCAGTTTACTAGGAAAGACTTTACATCGCTTAGATACCATGCCAATTTGGGAAAAACAGTTTGCATTTCAGATCGATAAAATGGGTTGGGTTTTGAGAAATATGGATAACTGGAGCTAGGTTTAAGGCGTATGTTTTAAGTAGGTATTCATTTATTACATTGAAACTTTTGGATTTTATTTTATAAACTCCTTTTAAATTAAGACTAATTAGCCAATCATGTAATATCCCATCATACCCTTACCGCGAGATAGGATCAAAAAATCGGATATATGGAAAATTCTTTGTTAGAAAAGATTTTCGAATGGAAATTAAAAAAATCAATTTGAATTGCTGTCATACTAATAAATATCGTCTTGATAGATCGAAGTCTTTTTAAATTATGGAAATATACACACCATAGAGGAATAAGAAGGAAATAGACAATAAAAAAATCTTTCTTAGAGCTTATTTAAATTGAATATTCTTTAAAAGTAGAGTTATGATAACATATTTAGAACTTACTATTGTTCGCTTCTTCCAAATTAAATCGTTCCATTAACCATTCAACCAAATCGTACCCTGAAAAATTCAAATTAGATTTGTAACAGACGTAGTAACCTTTGTTGCAAATTATAAACTTAAGTATATAAAGTGAAAATTGGGGTTATCGTTTTCTTCGCTTAATAGCTTATTCCATTAAACCGACCACTTAAATAAATTAATATTATAGAAACATTTTCCTTAATTTTATAAGACTATTGACTGAATATTTCTCTTCTATTAAAATGAGTTAAAACAATAATTAAAATGCGCCTTCAATTGCGACGAAGGCTTATTGTTGTGATGCGATGCATACTTTAATCGCATTAGTTAGAGATCTTTTTTAGAGATCTTTCTAGTTAGATCACGCGGACGAAAATTTCTTTTAATACGTTGCATAACGTATTGATTTATTTTAAATTTAGACGAACGTAAAAGTTAGCGTGGCCATTAAGTGACCGACATAAACGCAGTATACATCTAATCTTTCCATTTTATGATTGCAATGCGTTATCCGAACCGTTAATTGTTGCCTTTGAAGGAATAATGTAGGTACTCGTGTTCCGTGTCCATTTCCAAGAAACGCTAAGTCGTCGGTAAAGTAAACGGTTGCCCCAGACTGTAAATATGTGCTGGATATTGATTTTACAATTAAGGGTCTCACACTATTAGCTGTTGCGGCGATGACGCCTCCAGACGATATTGAAAAACGGAACTATTGTTGAGGCGAAAATGTGTCATATCAGATTAAGGACTACGTACGTTTAAAGTTCTCATATGAAATAGGGAGATATCGGTACTAATCGGCTTTAATTATCGTATCTTTTATACTTTTGTTCTTTGATAATTTTTTTAAATTTAAGTAAGAAGAAAATCCATTTCCCAGCTAAGGACGTTGTTCTTATTATTTTCGTCCAATCACGGCCACGAATCATCAAAGTATAATAAAAGGAGCATTTGGGAAGTCATTGACCCATAATTATTTTTTACGGTGGTTAATGTCCGAGCGATCATCTACTGCGCACAACATGTTTGTAGTTGCAGTTGCGATTCCATCGTATAAGGGAGAGGAATTCGGTTACCTAACTCGAAGAAGAAATACTTTACAATAAATACTTTTATTTTACACGTGTCGTCTGTGAGGTCGTTTTACTTTCCTCACCGACCCAACTGATTCGTTAAATAACAGAAGCTTCTGAATGGCTGTACCATAATTTAATCTTCCATACTGATTAGATGTTTTTCATTATTAAAAAAATACTTACCCATGAAAGCAGATGGGATAACACTGAGAAATAGTTTTTGACTTCGCACTGGTACACCGGTTTCTGGATCTTGCATTTCTTTTATCAAACTTTCCATCTGCAACAGACGATGCGTTATTTGATATAGAATGATCAAAAGAAAGAGGTATTTGATAAGCACACACTGTACCGTTTCTTTTATACTTAATGAGAGAGTTCATTGAACGAATCTGAGTTATATAATATTTTTTTCATTCTATTTTTAATCCTACACAGCAACTCAAAACCTAAACATAGCATTGGTACAATGTGGCAAGGGGCTATTCACCGTCTTAGTAGTCAAGGTAAGTGACATCATAAAACAACTTGAGGATAAAATACTTTTAAACACACAGTTTTCCGCTTTACGGCAAAATAAAATGTAATTTTTCGATGGTTCGATTCAATATAAAGACTGAATGAAAGTTGTTGAAGGAAAAAGGAGTCAAAACTTTAAACATGTCCTACTTAATTGTTATTTACAAATCGATAACAAAACAATATAAAGTTCTGTTGAGAAATTTGAGCTAAGCTTTCAATTTGTCATCATTCAATTGGGAAAACTATACGATGTTTAATTCTGATGTAGAAGAGAGTGAGATAAAATTTGATTTCGTGTTTAAAGTTATGTTATAAGCTATAGTTTTATACACCTCGATCTACATTTACATCTTCTTTGGGACTTTTTTATCTAATTTTTTACGTGTAAGCGTACTTGATGGTGTAAAAGTGAGGTCGGAGGGACCCTGGGTCGAAAGCTAGTCGAGTGCCTCTCTAGCCGATCGAGAGCTTGTTCATAGCGATGACAAAGCCGCTGCAATATCGCACTTAAGTCTATTAATATGCCGAGAGATCTCGAGACTCAACGCTTCGAAACTTGTAACAGAGTCGCGCAATGATTTAATCATATAATTGCTAGTGACGGTCATATGGAAATTATTGACATTGGGTAGAAACGGTCAAGTACCATACCTAGTTATTATTAATTAATTTTGGTATTAGAGCTTTAAAAAGAGTTAAAGATTATTTGCAATTACTGATAATCAAAATCTAACTTTCAAGTTTTTGTAGATAAAAATTTTTTTAAACATAAAATTTTATCTTTAGCCGAAATAAATTAAACGCTCTACGTAATTTTTCGTAATCGATTGGTATTATTTGTATATTAAAATTAAATCTCCACTGCTGGTTATTAAGATGTCCATTTACGGAGTTTTAATCAAACAAACTATATGAAAATCACATTAGCCGCGCTCGAGTTACGGCTATAAGCGCATTAGCGGAGAAAGGGAGACGATGCAATCCATAATTAATTCCACGGTTAGATTAATCTAATAGCAAGAGTTAAATCTCATGCTCAGGGCTGTTTGTCCGATGTAGTAATGTTGTTAAGTTTTAGATTATGTAGTGGGTAACTGATTTTCAGCTGTAGGTTTACGTAATTGTTATGTATTTCGTCTAATTTTAAGGGATATAAAATGTAGGTTACAGGTTCACGACTTGCTATCTAGAATAATGTTAATGTTAAAAATGTACAGCAAGGCTTTTTTTATTTCTTTTACACGGATATAAATTACATAAAAAATTTATATAAAAAATAGCCTTTGGTTACAGATTTCAACGGGCTTACACGATTGAAATCCTGGTAGAGAACGAAAATATTTTCACTGTATTTGTGTTTTAACTAAATAAAGAGCATATTTTCTGTCTCTAATGTGAAAATATGATAAACCAGCAGGCGGTTCGCCCGATGTTAGGTAAGTGATAACCACCGCCCAAAACATTTATGACTATACCCGACGGGTTGCAGACATAGAAAAGGTGATTAAAGAAATAATCCACCCAAATATGATTAAAATAATCGAATAGCAAGTCGCGACAAGTCTAAGGTTTCAAATAAATTAATATGTCTCTTGACGATATGGGATGATCCACCAATATGTAGCAACTCTGGAATGGGAGCCCTGTTAGAAGAGGGAAGACTGTAATCAGAGCTGATGTTGATAAAATACGGCAACAGTTTTAACCATGGTAACTTTTGATTTGGCTAAATTTGTTTCAGTGCCATTAAGCTTCTTCTATCAAAAGCGAATGGTTATAAAATTGGTAAATGGCAATTTACATGATAAGGTTATCCTATTTAATTGTCTACAAATAGCTTAAAATGGGAAGGATTTAAGCTCAATATATACCATATTGAGTGTAAATACAAATTGCAAGTGACTACGTTAAACAATTCCAAAATTCTTATAGATTATAATTAGTTTATATCTTAGTATTTCTTGATTTTTGAATGTATTAACGATGGCCATGTAGACATTACTTTTATTTGATTCTAAGATTAGTCCCCGCTCTAAGGAATAAACTTAGATTTTTTGTTGTATAATATGGTGTGTTATATTAATTTTATGCAGTATCTTGTATATCGCGTTTTTAAGCTTATAATTTTGATTAAATGATATGCATTGATTTTAATCACTTAAATCCATATCGTTTTTTTATTTATTCCACCTACCACAATTTGTCTCACGCCCCGGATTGACTGATACTGGATGCGAATAGGAATTTAGGCGAATAGTCTTAGGCTTTGAAGGCTATTGAAGGTGTTTGCAATAAAGCATAAATAAATGAATAAAATAAAAATAGCCCTCAGATATATCGAATCCTTACTAATATTGTAAACGCGAAAGTTTGTATGTATGGATGGATGTTTGTTACTTTTTCACGCAAATACTACGGAATGGATATTAATGAAACTTTACAATAACATAGCTATCTTACATATAGCTTTACAATAACATCAGAATAAGACATAGGCTATAATTAATATACATATTTTATGTATAACTGTCTGTTTGAATGTTACGTCTTCAGCCTATTCTACGCAGACGTCGTCGCGGGAAGCAGCTAGTAGTTAATATCGAAGAAAGATAGTCGAGGAAGCAATAACTGCTTGCTATTAGGGTACGGATAACGCACGTGTAGAATTGTTATTTGCGATGAGCGCTGATTCGTCCCGGGCACGTAGCGCGAAGGCTAAGGCGGTGACGTCACAGGCGGTATCGATCAGAGGGGGAGGGGGGGGGGGGGGGCACCGCACCGATTGCGTCCGCCATCGCCGCGCACTTGAAGCTAAGATTCATCCCGCCTTAAAACTGTTTGGTCCCAGCGTCGACAACTGCATTGTAAGAATCCAGACTATTTAATGAACAAAAGTGCTTTTGAACGATCTAGATCGTGTCTGATGTTAGGCATGATACATTCAACAAAAGAATATGTTTAGGTCTTGTTATATATTATATCATTGATGAGAAAAATTAAAAAGTAATGGCTGATATATCAAAAATAACGACTGGATCATGATCATTATCATCACTACAAGCCTGAAGAGTAGGCTAATAGCGAACAAAAGCCTAGTCTTAAGTCCACCCTGCTTGTACATTCTATGCAGTGTGAATCTAGCAAGAATGAATGTGAATTCATTATAATCAACAATTCACTCACGGTTCAATGATCGAACAAACAGCAAGTCGTGACGTATTCAAATTATGTGAACAATTAAATGTCGTTTTAATTATTATGTAGCACCACAAATCTAAAAGTCTAAATAAAAACTTAAACAAATTATTAAGCCGCCACACAGGTCCACCACGTATTTATAGCCTTCATCTACCTTTGAGAGCCAAGGATGCATCTGGACTCAAATCTGAACACATCTAATTATTGAGCTCGAGAAGCAACTTGAGATCAAATCAAGTTACAGCAGATGCAATGAAGTAATGATAAAAAAATTTGATTTTGAATTCAGGTTATGAACAGTACTTTTCTAAACAATCAAATTTTAAAAGTTTTTAAGTCTCTATGACATTGTTATTGATACGGTTTTTTATAAACATAATGTAAAGTAAGTATGTTGTCCATTGTTCGCGTTTCCTTTGTATTTGCGGCCAGGCGGTCCCGTGTGCCGACGGAACAAAGGCCCAATCCGAACATATACGGTTTCATTACAAACGCTGAACAGGCGATTGCGTCGTAATTCGCAAACACGGGAGACAATTAGCGGCGAATTGAATACTTTATATTGGTAAACTAGATTTTGCTTTTTCAATTCAAGGTGCATTTTTAAACAACATTTTCTCGTATATGATATAAATAAAATATTATTAAGGAAAATATTATATCTCTTCTTAAACAGAAATCCTGCCCTGCTTTAAACGCGAAAGAACCTTCAGCACAAGATTTCTTCATGAATGTAAAAGTTCTGGTAGTAGAAATTTAAAAAGGTGTCATTAAACTTGTGTACAAAAAAAGGAAAATTTTCACCAATTCACTTAGTTTATAAAGGGCGTGGAAAACCTGTTGATGAAGAATTTGATATAAGGAAACTTCCTGACTCTGATGCTAGAATCTTCTTAGCAAGATGATATGCTACTCTATAAAAGATTTGACGCTACAGACATGTACTATAAAAGCATTTTAAAATAACGGACCAGCTTCGTATTTGAGGAAAACTGGCCGTATTGGCAGTGGGGCAGAAAACAGGAGATATTCTTAAGGAAATAATTAACTAAAATTGTCGTGATGGAATTACAGAAATCGTTATACAAGGGTGATTTATGCCTACTTATGTATAATATTGGAATGGCTTTTACATTACTAAAGATAAAAAAAAAATAAGAGATCAAAGTTTACTCGTGACCGCTAGAATTGGATTGACCAGTGGCTTAGTATCGTATGAAGTGATAAATCTAAATTCAAATTAATAGTCGTCAAAGAGTAAAGTAAAGTAGCCTATACAAATCCCTGTGTGCCATCCATCCATGACCTCTTCCGTTCTCCGGTATCAGGGCATAGTCCACCATGCGGCCTCAATGCCGATTGATGGTCTTTACTATCTTCGAAATATTTTTTTTGTTATTATTTTGAAAATATGCAGGTTTTCTCACGATGTTTTCCTTTACCGCTGAGTACGTGATAAGTAAGCACTTGAAATTAACAATTTTATTGGTGCTGGTGCTGGTGCCGGCACCGGGGATCGAACTCAGGTCGCTTTAGTAAAAGCGAACGTTCGCACAATGAAAAGCTCATTATATAGCTTATATTATAGAACGGGTCATCAACGTAGGGTAACCACTTTACCCTAGCCGTAGTCGTCACTATGCCACTTTTTTGGCACGACTATTCCAGACTGAATCTCGTAAGCGAGAAGTTAAATTTCCATCTTTCCCTTAAACTAAACATTTTGGGAGAGAGCCATTTTTTTGTGACGCTATTAATAATCAAAATGCCATGAAGACTATGTCAACCTATGACTATGTCACGCCATGAAGATTGCCACCCAAGGAGATAAAAAGCTTTGGCTTACGTAACGAGCATCCGACAATTTAATCACAATCAAACAGTTAAGAATTTGTAACCGACCGAACGAGTATGGCGTAAAACAAAAAAACCTAGGGACTTGCGTCATCAAGATTGAAGCGCGTCTTGAGCGTGGAATTAAGCCTGAAGAGTGGGTGCATCTTGTAAAAAGATTGGAAATGAAACCAAAGGAGACACAGCGAGTGGTAGTCGACATTTTTTGCGTGTGTGACAAGAGTTTCCGAACCTTTCAGCTTAATCTTAGTTAATGGCAGAATAAAAAACTTAAAACTCATTCCTTTTTGTATTATTAAATTAAATATAAGATTCGCGGTATATTATATAGACTAAGAAAGACGACCTAATATATATTGCGGATTTTGAACTAGAAAAGAAGCTTATAATAAAGACTAATAAAAAAAAATACATTATATCGTGCTGTAAACTTGAGAGTTTACAGCACTCCATCTTTCACTATTTTATGAATCGATTTGATTATATGTTGAACTTTGACCTGTTGATTTTACAAGTATTAAATCCGCTGTGTTTTGTGATGGCTAATAATTTTTTTCCTTATATGTAACCTCACAGTACGTTAGTTTCATTTTAAACGTTTTTCCATGACTTTAATACTTTAGGCCTTGTTGACCTTTAAATCTTGACTCCCATATTCCAGGCTAGTCTTTTTACAATATGTTTCTAATAGCAACCGACACTGAAACTTTTGTGTTTCATAATCCATTTATCGATTGGCCAATGTTACACACGCAAGATTCGGTAGGCTATGGATTATTCAATTTGAATATTTACGTACATACATATTAAAATGTGGGGAGCCTTGTAAATATTAATATGTAACCGCTCTTCTTTGAATAAATTCTGCTCAGACCTGAGCTTAAATCCAAGTATGACCATCAATGAAATAGTCTATTTTGCCGTCAGCCTTACAATTTCAGTTTTATGTAATATCTTTTTTTAAGTATTAATACGATAAATAATGGTCCCACAAATGTTTATCATGAAGTAGTGAAGGATGCCTGTCTAAAATGCAAGAAGCGCCCGATTTTTCAGAAAAATGTTGTGTAAAATCAAAAAGAAAGCTGCGGTAGGTAACAAGTTAATGTTAATTTTCGAAATGTTACAAAACCTGGGCGTCGAGTTTTAAAATGCCTGTCTCTGATCAGTGCCGGCCGCACGCCTATTTAAACGTCAAATACCTGTCAAAGTCGGCAAATGGTTGACAGATGGTTACCCTAGTTCCACAAAACTTTGTATTAAAAGTACTACATTAAGTAAATAATTCACTTAAATGAAAATAATATAGATCCATATTATTGTAACCATTACCTAATTTAAATAAAATGGAGATGAGATAATGGGTATACTAAATTAACATGACTTGTGTTCAGGTACTACACACAACAGCTTCCTCGAGTTACGCTATGCAAAGCATACTATATAAATGAGTATATAAACGTTAACATTATAGTAATAAACACTATTTACCACAAAACCAGTAGTTACGATATAATCAGTTAAGCGACGAAATATAGCCCTCGAATTTTCACGTTATTTCCGACAATCACAAAAAAGGTCCGAATTGGCGCCTCCATATTCGTAGAACGCAATCACATAATTAGATAACGCGGCTGTTAGTCACAACATTAACGTTTTAGTTTATGGCGCAATGTAGTGACTGGTGTCAGCAAGGATTTCTCGTGCGCGTTCCAAGAAGTTTCATTACGGACATAACCAATGGAAGTTTGTCACGGAATACGCCATCTCGACAGCAGTCTTGAAAGTGCGTTGATATATTCTAATACTAGCTGCTGACCGCGACTACGTCTGCGTAACATTCAGACAGAAAGACAGATATACACAAAAATATGTATATAAATTATAGCCTATGTCTTATTCTGATGCATAAGCTATATTGTTGTAAAGTTTCATTAAAATCCATTCAGTAGTATTTGCGTGAAAGAGTAACAAACATCCATTTTATCATTCATTAACATTCAAAACATCCATTAATTGTAATTTTAAATGCTGATTTGTCAAGTGAAGGAAATATCGTGAGGAAACTACATATTTAAGTTAAAAAAATATTACAAAATTTATGTGAAGTACCAAGCCGCAGTGGGGTCGCGGAGCGGACTATGATCTAATAACCTCTGTACAGAGGAGCCTTTTGCCCAGATGTGGGTCATTTAATATATGGGCTGTTATTTTATTGCATTTCTTTTACATTATAGCATTTAATAAGCGAACTGCACGGTTGACGCAGTAGTTTAGATGTTTAACCATCTGCTATGTCGTCGTCATGTGGTCAAAAATTTGTTTTCTTTATAGATTATTTTTCAGAAATTCTGAATACAATCTGTTACTTATAATATTATATTTAGTACCTGGCCGACCGAAATTAATTACGTAAGGCTATTAGTATTATATGGATAATATATATAAATAGTTAAGTCTTGAGAGTTTTATGTAAAATCGCGATTTATTTATATATAGATAATCATTAAGAAAAAAAAACTCGATCTGGATATAAAATTTGATGTTTTCCGACACGAGATATACACTAATAGTTCATTTCATAAAGATATGTCTTTTAATATGTTATACATTTTGCGTTCACAAGTTACACACTCAATGGCTTTTAAAAATATATGGGTAGTAACACAAGAGTTATTTTAGCTAACCTAGAAGAGATCGGTCATTAAGTCGATGTTTATGTTAAAAATTAAAAATTGACATACCACGAAATTAAAAAATATAACGTGGTCGGACGGACAGTCGGATGTGTATAGTTTTGACAACTAACAGTGTCCATTTAAAACAATGTTCTCATTTGTTAACTTAACCTCTATGGGAATCCTTAGGGATTTCCATAGAGGTTAATAATTATGTTGTTTTTTCGAATACTTGGGTCTCGTTAAGGACAGTTTAAAAACTGTTCAAACTGCAACTTTATGCGTAGAAATGTGGTAAACAGATTTTATTCACTTAAACTGCTCAATTAAGCCCCTCGAGTTAAAAGCTAACCAGGGTGTTTTTTTTGTGTAAGAGGATGAAAAAAACATTAAGTGTATTAAAGTAGATTTAGCGAACGCGGGAGCGGCATAAGAGATTTAGCTTTCTGGGGCAAGAGTTTTTATAGTACTTCGCCAAGTATGAAGCGGAGAAATGATAAACGAGTTGCTTTTAAAAATATATTTTTTTCTTCTTTTAGTTGAAACTTTTTCAAGAGAATCTTCTTGCTTTAGGCGACGCATTCATACGTATGATTAATTAAACGTTCGTTCTAGAAAACTAAAAGATGCAAGTGAAATTTGTGGGTATTCAAAAATGCTGCGTTATATACCATAGAATTCGTTCATTTACCTCCGCTCAGTAGAAAAATGGCTTTTAAAATGGAGGAGTTGCACACACAGACGTGTAATAATGGTATGCACTTAAGGTCAATTGAAGCATGAACAATCTATTAGTCAATCTAATGTTGCAAACGATTGACAGACTCAATTTGAATTGTATCCTGGTTGTTGAAGTTCCGTTATGCCGAGTACACATGATTACGAACTGATTGTTGTACCACAAGCTTCTTTATTGTTTTATGTATAGTTCAGAGGACGCCTGTCAAAAATGTCAATCGTCTACTTGGCTAAAATTCAAATTTTGAACATGTTATTTTTTTATAAAATAGAATAGCAAGACCAGTCATCGGAGAGTAATTGCTTACCGGCGTCCATTGACATCCCGTTGACATCCTGTTACCTAGCAAAACTTTGTCATTGGCTAAGTTTACATCTCAAGTCAAGCAGGCACATCACATCAACGCTGTTGTGCTCTAAATGCGTATTTCTCTAATTCGAGGTAGAAAGCACTCTGTATGCTTAGATTTGTGAAAATGTATGCTATGTAAGTGTATTGACAATCCAAAAAAAGACGGCCTAAATACGTAGAAATGGCTTACCTTATGTTCCTGTCCTGTCTTCCCTGTACGTTGTTTCGCTTGCGATATAAGACTTTGCGGGGCCTCGTCTTCAGTATGTATCAAGTATCGACCTGTAGGAAGGCCACAGTCTGCGGGGCGATTTTTTTTGTATGTGAAAAGTTGCCAAGCGAGCAGACGCGAGCAGGCGGTGGTATTCACTTAACATCAGGTGAACCTGATGTCAAGTGAATGCCGCCGCCCATGGGCATCTGCTACACCCGTGCTTTCCAGATGCGTTGCCAACCTTTTGATTTGACAGCACCAGACGAAACGCTATAGTATTATACTTCCACTTTACGCCGGTCTTCTGTGAGGTCGTGGTACTTACCCGGGCGAGCCTGCCCATTCGTGCAACAGCCGAGGCTGCTGCGTGGCCCTCCCATCGTGAATGTGCATCGCGATGCTGCGCTTACCTTGTCGAAGGCGAGGGGTCGGTGTCGCGGCGCGTCGGCGGGGTCCATGGCGTCGGCGGGTCGGTGCGGGGGACGCGGGCGCGGGGGCTGCGCGCGCGCCGCTAGCCGACCTCCATTGGCGTCTGCCGCCGGGGCCGCATGCCGCTCGCGCCCGCGCTGCGCCCCCGACACCTGCAACGCGCACGCCGTTAGCCCGGGAAGGGGAATTCCCCATCGGACCCGTCTCGAACCCACGCTGCCCCCGAGTCCGATGTGGGTAGCCCCATCTCGGACGCACGCCGCCTCCAATCGTGGGGAATCCCCATTGAAATTGTTTCAATTCACACTGCCTCCAACCGTATCGTGGAACAATATTCCAGTTGTTCCCTTGTGGGCCGCACGACCACTGGGGCAGTGTAGATGACCCCGTGTGTGTGGTGTGATAGACTTGTTTCGAATCTTTCCCTCGTCATTAATTCACTATTTTTAGGTTATAAGTATGAATTAGACGTTAATTTGTTGTGGCGTAATGGAAAAACTAACAAGCTTGCAAACAAGTATTGGCATTTGAGTAATGATAGAAATTCTTAAGAATATTTTAATCGTATGCATAAACTTTAAGAAATACGGACTCCGAACATCCCTATGTTGTAATTAATTTTATTAACAATGAAAGTTACGTTGGTGTACTAATATAAATAAAAGTGATTTAATTAATTTCTATGATTTCCTGCGTATTTCAAGATACACACGTACCAGATATACATAAAAAACGCTTCCAATTTACTTTATGTTAGTTAACATTGGCCGAATCACCGATAAAGTTCGTTCGTTCACGTTCTAACGTTGGAACAAAAACTCACAATCGATTTCCGTCGAATAGCAAATGAATGCGGTGAATGCTTGAAAGATACATAATGGAGGAGACACGTTATTATTAGCTTTCTCGCGGTGCTCAATGACCGTTTCGATTGTATAAAATAACGTGCATGATTGATGAGGCTTGAAATGAATAGTTTCATTCGCACAGTGATTTACGTTTCGACACAAAGTAATGATCATATTCAGCAAACAAATGATGTTACGGTACCATAAAAAGTTAATTGAGTCTAAATTCAACTGCATTGTCTGCAACCTGTTTTGATTACGATGTCCTTGCCACGCTAAACAGATACCTCCCTAAACACCCGTGTCCCGAGAGGACCTGAGTTGCATGGTCGGTGAGGTGTCGCCTGTCCAGCCACCTCCTGAGGACAGGCCTCTAAGTTTCTTAGACCAGGACTGGGGTGCTCCAGACTCTGCTCTCACTCCCCGATGGCAATTGTGCGCAGTCGATCCCAGCGCTCCCACAACTTCTCTGGGCCGGAGATTAGCCCTGGGATTTTGCCTCCTCACGCCAGTAATGTCATGAAGCGAGAACCTTCGCTTCTAAATCCCAAGGCAGGAAGCCGGCCAACAGGCAGGCCGCCTCACCGAAACCGTCCTATAGCCCCGTATAACCGGATAGCCAACACCCTCTGCGGTTTGCGCAAAAGCGCTTGTCTCTGACGGATCAGGGTTAAGGGTGCTGCTCTACATTCTTTATTATTTTTAACCTTATAATATTTATAAGCAATAGAAGAATTTATAAAATTTTAAGCGCATCCATCATGACATTTTTCATTACTTTTCGCGATCTGCGCTATGTAATGCTGCCTTTTGGTATGGCAGATATTAATTATCACAGATCTGAAACTTATTTGCTACCCAAGACTATCATGTCATAATGCTTTAGCCCACACGAAGTCATGGATGGATGGCGCAGTAATAATCTCAAAGCCCGGCGGCGTCAAGGGTGGTCAAAGATTTATTATACCTAGTTTTGAAATTATGGGACTCAGAGGATATTCGCACTATAAATTATATTTACTGGCACCGCTGATCAGGAGGATATATTTTTCAGGAGGATATTTAAATTTTGACTCTGCCTGTACCTTCTAAGCACATTGCTGGAATGCTCTGGGAGATGTTTGAGTGAGAGACAACATGACCCACCACCGTTTTATAGATGGATGGTAAAAAGATGGTCACTTTTAATCGCTCTTATCTGACAAAACTCCTGAATGGCACATATTATACTTTAAGCAGCTCTGTTGAAATGAAAAACGCAACCTTTTGTACCGCCTGAACCCGTTGTACAAAAGTAGATCATAGTAACTATAAATTTTCCAATGATTGCTACAGAAATGAAAATACCAGTACCTAACTATGCTTATGCATTGCGAGTAGCCAACAGTCCAACTCGGCTAACCTGTTGCTAAAGTAAATAGATAAATACCACAGGGAACTTTCCCCGTAAAAATCGGCGATGTTTGCGTTAAAAAACTAGCTTCGTTTTTAAACTGTCCATTCATACAGTCCGCTTGAGAATGTTAATGGATGGAATGCACTCATTTCTTCTGCAATATTTAGGAAATCGGAGCAAAAAGGCAAACAAAACAATATGTAGGAGTATTCACGGAAGGTGAATGAAACGTGGTGGGATTTATTTATAAACTATTCTCTCCCGTTTTTCGTATTTGCGAGAGTAGAATAACTTTGACGTTTCATCGGATTAATTCAGAACATCTCGTTTTCGTTTACGAATTCAAGAAGTTTCAAATTACTTCGAAAACTCTAAGGACAGATTGCGATTCAGTGCAATTAGCACATTTTATATGAATGAGTTTCCTAAACGGGGTCTTGAGAAATCGCATTACGTATTAAATAAGAGACCGTTTACCATTTACATTTGTGTTGAAACTTGAGTGCTTGTGTTCGTTTAGTACAAGTAAACAGTAAACGTTCATTTAGTATTTGGTATTTTCACTTTACCTTGTTTGAGTTTAATACTTCAGGGTGCGATAGATGTTTCAAAATTTTTAATTGTCCATCTTATATGTCATCGTTTAGTTCATATTTTACTTGATAATACCATATCAAACGTTTCAACTGTCTAAAAATATGACTTAAAGTCATCATTTCATTGGGTTGAATATATAAATTCTTGTAAATAGAAAAAAAAACTGCAGGTCTAAGCGACACAACGAAAATTAAACATTTTATAAACGGAAATATAAACGGAATTGAGATTACCTAAAGGTTGATATAAACAGATCTGGATACACGTATATTTGTAAATATTTCGACATGACAAACGTTTACACGTATTAGAAATATAGCTTTGATACCTTGATAAGCCATGCTGATGAATTGACGAATTCATCTACCGATGTCATTTGATAACTGTTACTATCTGAAAAGTAAAACGAAACATTAACCAAGCAATTAGCGCCCTTACTATAATTAATAAAAATTAAACTCACTGAGTAGCGCGTACACGTCTTAGACTATTAAACACAACAATATTACTAACCTCGTCCGATCAATTTAAAATTATAACACGTTATGCGTCATTGTTGTCATTCCAGGCTGCGGTTCTTCGACGAATCGAGATGGGAGGTACTATTCAAAGTCCTTAGCGGCGCTTATGCCGAAATACAAATTTCGAGTAGAAACGCTGTCAGCTGTTGCTGAGTGCGCGCTTACGACGGTTCGCTGTTGTTCCAAGAAACGACAGAACGCGTCGCATCTCGTAATATCGCCTGATAAAACAGATAAGGCCGAGTCCGCTTAAATCTCGTCTAAAGTCGTAAATTTCAGAGTCGCGAGGGGATTTTCGGGTGGCTTAAGCACATTTAGATAATTGAGATAAGTGGACTACGTCGCACCCTAGAGGCGCCTTTCGCGGATAATAGCTTGCGCGTTGTTAAACTACATCGTCGTACATGGCTCGTAATTACGAACAATTGCGGCCGCTCATTACATCGTATGAGTTGCTATCGACGCTTAGGTATATAGGCAGTTGCATTGTTATTTTTGCGTCTTACTGTGTACGTTTACCCACTTTTAAAGTTTTCCAACGCTTTTACAACACTACACCTTTGCAATCAATCGAAGCTGTGGGGTAGAGCCGAGCAGCAGCTGTTTTACGAATAGGTAGACTGTATAAAGAACTACTGCTTTAAAGTAACAGCCTATACATGTCCCCCTGCTGGGAAAGGCCTCCTCTATACAGAGGGTATCAGGGTATCACTGCTTTAAGGTGCTTTAATAGCACCCATACTCTGAAGGTAGACAAGGTCTGTGCAACCCCACAGGTTTTGTAGATGCCCATTGGCGGTGATAATCACTCTACAATTAATCAAATGCTAAATATTTATGATGAAGTATATTTAGTTTTGCCATATTCTTTATGATAGACACTAAAAATCTTGTATGTCATTTTAGCGTTACTACCCGTAACTTGTACTCAACCACCAAAGGTTAACTGGAAGAAAATGCTATTTAGCATTAAGTTCGCCTTTGTACAAACTTCTAGTACAATAAAGAATATACAAACAAACAAATGCTAGGACGACCGACAAAATTAAAAAAAATAGTGAAATAATCCTTTACTGTAAGCTACTTAGAACTCTAACGCCTGTTTTATGAAACACTGATCATCGTAGAAGTCAACTAATCAGCTGTCAAATAGCTTTTTAAATTTCATTTTAGTTTCCAAAAGGATGGTTAAACTCTCTGAATTTACCAATATGATCTTCTAAATGATAATGTTTACATTATTTATGCTAAGTTTAGAAAATCTCATACGAATGTTGATATAAAATAAACCATCATTATAATCATAATAATTAATAAGTTCGGTAACACAGTAAAAACGAATCAATGATCGTGTATTGGCCAATCCATGTGAAATGTCTATATTATATGTGAAATGTTTTAAAACAGCCTATTGTCTCAATGATTTCAAATAGTTCAATAACAAGTTTCCGGTGCATTAAATCGCTTTCATTTAATTTTTAACCACTAATCCCTCTTCATATAATATTTCAGTAATTTTCTATCTGTCCCGGAAAGAATGAGAATTGCATATGCTCCATATACAATCATGTGTTGGAAACTCAGGCGTTTCAGAATAAAATCTTTGACTCTGTGGAGAAATTTTGATTATTATATTGGAATAGAATATCTTCCTTAAGGTGCCATGTAATTGTGCAATATATGCAAAAAGTGAAGTATAGTTTTATAAGAATACTTGTGAAGTGTAAAATACGCTATACAAAATGGCGTTACAACAGCGACAATGAATGAAGACGCTTCTATCGCCAATAATCATAAAAAAGTTAAAAAATTAATTTAATGCTAATTAAATAAAAATTTGTAATATTCTATACAGCTACAACTGACTTCATTCGTCGCTTTCCAAGTCTTTCCTTCTAACGGCATATTTTATGTCTTTTAAATTCATTCAACCAATTCATATGTTCTAAAATAGTTTGTTTTTCAAAATGTAATAACTCTGTAAATATTGATGTTTAAAGAAAGTGAATGTAATACAATTTTAAAAAGTTAATCTCTATATGTGTGTTGATCTGGATGTGGTCGCGTTAACAGCGCCACGTTGTATAACAATCTCTCTTCGACAACCTGTTCAATAATCAATTCAGTAATTTTTAGTATCAAGAAAATGACTCCACGTTAAAGTAAATGTACTTTATACGATATTGTCATTATTTTCTCTATGTTATAAATGACTATACAAAAGGGGAAAAGTTGTGTATTTTATTTCGCAGCATGAAGAAAGACAACATATCAGCCTGTTTTAATACCCGCGCATTAGCACTGGTCGTCACTATGTATTGAGTGTTGTAGGACGACCTCCCCACGTCGTCCTACAAAATATACTTACTACACAACTTCATAAATCGAAGTTGTGTAGTATATTTGTTTATTTTTTTGTGAACTAAAAAAACTTAACAGAATGCTCTGCCATTATTACGAAACCTTTGTAATTTTGTAGCGAATTACCTTGTATCTTGTATCTTGTATTAACTGATGTTTTTGCTTTCAGTCCCGAGACTATTAAAGCTTCATCGGACGCAGAACCGTGGGCTAGCCAGAACCCACGGGTTTGGACCCTCCGCTATGGGTAGGGTCGCGCATGTGCTCATGCGTGCGTTTAACTACTATGGTGTGTCATCTAAGGGCCGTCGAGGTCGCCGGTTCGGACCGAGACCCCGACGGCCGTCGACTGTGCATTTAGCTAATCGGTGGCTGGGAGCGGTAAAAACCGCCCCGGAACGCGGGTGTACCTTGTGTACGCGTTGTGTGGGTCCGCCGTGCTCGGAGGCGAGGGCGAACTGGTGTGATTGTTGTTACACTAACTGTGGGTGTAGTGTTATCCGGCGGGAAGCGAATTACCATTACAGTTGCCGCTATAACAAGCACGCGACGCGGAAACAAAACCCCGCTGGCGCGATGACGTGACGTGACAATTTTATGCATGCGTTTTTTTAAGTTTGATCTATTCTCTTATTCATATCTTAACTCATATATTATAATTATAGATATATATTAATAAAAAGACAGGTTGCAAATTATTACAGGAAATTTAAACAATAATCCTTTTATTTTCAATTATACAAGAGTTAATAAAGAATAGATTTATTATTAGAAATATTATATATTGATAGAAATTTGATGACTCCGTGGCGCAGTCGCCAAGGTATTGGCTTCGGCGTAGCGGGTCGTAGGTTCGATCCCCACACGGGACAACTATTTGTGTGACTCACAGATAGCTGTTTCGCATCTGGGTGTTTGTCCGCGTAAATTTATGTTTGTAAAACGTCCTCACAACACAGGATAATTTTATCCTAAAGTAAGGGCAATGTTTAAAAAAAAATATTGATATATTGAATACCAGCTTTTCGCTTCGTTGAAGCCCTTAAATAAATGTCTTTCTTTAACCTTTCAACCCTTTACAACACTTTTTTCCTTTCTCAGGCTCTAGACTATCTTCGTACAAAATTTCATTTAAATCGGTTCAGTAGTTTTGGCGTGAAAGACAGACGGACAGAGTTACTTTCTCAATTATAATATTACTATGGATTGAATAGAGGGCTATTCTCAGTATCTTCAAAATATCTAAATTAACTGGTTCTAAATTAACTGGTTCAATTGTTTTGAAGTAAAGCTATATGAAATAGCAGTCAGTGTATTTGGCTTAAGATGAAATTTTCTACAAATAAAATGAATCGCTATCCGCAGAGACCGAAGCTCGCAGTTTCTACCAAAATTATAAGCAAAGAAATCAAATAGTTTTAACTTTGGCGCACTTTAAGGGAATCTATCAACCTACACAATAAAAGATCGGAATCTCTGATTTTTAAAAATTGCCATTTAAAAATACAAGTATTAAAATAATTGTTGCTCCGCCACTGATGAGGATCCCTAGAATTTATTGCGAATAGTCCGGTCGACCATTGAATATATTATTCAATACATAATAATTTTATTGCGCAATAACGTACGTATACGTATTCTTTATTAGTGCGGTATTCTTGTGAGCGATATCTTTTATCTATTTTTTTACCCCAGTTATTAAGCTTTCGAAATGGCGTTTGTTTAAAAACTTCTGTTCTAGCAATTATAAACCACACAAGCCTTAAATATTTTCCAAGACCGAGTTCTAACGCCTACGGTTCTAAAGGGTGTGATGGATTTCATTAAGCGCGTAAATCACGATTGAGCGAAAAACTCATACTTTCGTTTAGTTAAACTATCGTAGTTTCGAGTCATCGGCCATAATGAATTCAAATCCACATTAATTTTGCAAAACATAGTGATTTTTAGCGTACATGCAATTTTGTAAGTGATATTGTGTATTAATTCCTAATATCGGTACATTGTGTTAAAATAAAATAAAACAAAAAAGAAATTACATAAGCTGCCTCAATATACAGCGATCAATGATCGATGCTTGGTCCGTAATAAATTAATTTCCCGTTAATAATCATAATAAGCTTAAGTGGGATCAAATTGCAAATTCAATTTAGTTCATGCTTGCGAATGAGATACAATACAAGTACACTGTTTAATATGTTTTTTAAGAATTCACTTAATAATATACTTAGTACATATACCTAGTTTTTAATAAAAATGCTTTCTTACTTTTTCATGCTCCCAGTTATAATTTCCATCTTTAATTAAAACAACATTCTAATCTTACTAAAATAATTTGATAAAATCCTATATGTCTCTTGTAGGAAATATCCTTTAAATATCTTCTTAAATATTCACAAAATAATGTTTTTAAATTTTATCGTCTAATTTAATTGTGTATGTGTTAGTTTTGGAACTACATATTAACTATTGTTATTACATTTGTAAGAATTAT